TAGTTTGTTTCTCGACTTTTGAGCTTACTATTTGGTATCATTTTTGTCTGTGTATAGTATTCATAATATGTTCTACGGTTATTTATGTAGACTTATTTTATTATTGTACATTCCTGCATCTTTTTCGCATTTATTTGTTCCTTACTCCTCCATTTGAACTCACGAATCCTACTTTCTTTGAATTTTCTTTATTTTTTTCTTGTTTTTATCTTACATTCGCCTTTTGTCAAAGCCTTGCCCTTAGGGTACTGCTATGGAAATCCTCTCCCCATTGTTTTGATATCAACCAGGATTTCCACCCCCTACTTTATTATAAATCGTATATGCTTTTCATTAAAAAAACAATTTTGCTCATTTATATATTATGACACTAAGATATAAGCTAGTTTACCACTGGATCATCGCATTTTTCAATATTTGTTCCTCAACTCTCGTTCATGGCTCTTAGATTTATTGCTTCTACGCTTCTCAGATTATTGTCTTACTAACTTACACACCACTTATACCACATGCAGATTTTATCTCATTCCTTAATGTACCTAGCCCATTTATATCTTTCAAAACAGAGCTTCACAATAACGTGTTGTGGCATCTTTATATTGTTTTTAACTTCTTATAACCTATGCACATGATTGTGCAAAACAAATATCATCATACGATTTTCTTTCTTATCAGTTACGGCCTCACGGAGACCTGCTCTAGCGGTGCTATTATGGAATGTGGCGATCTGCGTTGCAACCACGTTGGTGCTCCTCTTTCTTCCGTAGAGATAAAGCTACGTGCATGGCACGAGGGTGGATACTCACCTCATGATTCACTCGGCCCACGTGGTGAAATTCTGATTTCAGGCGGGCCTGTTTCACGAGGTTATTTTCATCATCCAGAATTAACTTGCCGTGATTTCGTCACTGATCCAGATGGCCGGCGCTGGTTCTGCACGGGTGAGTCATTCGGGACTCATACTACTCTTCAAATAGGGATATGCAATAAACTAAACTAAGTTATGATATTTGTTCCGGCTGAGCTGGAACCTGAATCTTCTTTAATGGCCAATTAGTCATTTTGGTTGACTGCATCCACATTTTCGCATCAGGTGGATGAGTAGATTTTAAGCAGTCAAATCGCTTTTTATACAATACTCCTTACCAGGCTTTAGTTGCACCCCTTTTGACTAACAACCTTAGCCTTCGTATCATCATCAATTAGGCTATTGGCATCGCATAGTGTTTTTTTGGCCTCATCTTTTTTTCAATATAAAGCGTTCTACCAATAAAATATTTTCCAACAGGCTTAGAAACAACTACAAAAAAGTTTGTCTTTATTTGCTTAGTCATTCTTTTTCGTCAATTTC